TATGTAAGTACAACAAAATCTTACTAAAGAGCTGGCTTGCAGACTTTCTTCTTAATTAAATAGAACGTTGAGCTTATGTAGTCAGTTAGTTGAATGTAATTATATTTAAACAAGACTTAAATAACGTAAAATAGAATGTTAAATGCTAATACGACTTAATATTCTGTTTCAACAAGTGCAGTTCTCGACTGAATGAATTTTAATGGGCAACCTGCAGAAGTTTGCTTTGACTCTAGGTGAAAAGTACCTTAAGATCACATCAATATTCTTCTTAGATGATAATAATACATACTTTTTATATATGACAGTATAAGGAATAAGCAAACCTTTATGAATAACGCACAAGACTTTTTAGTGTCTTTTTTATTCTTATTTACTCATAGATAATTTATTCCATGATTTTGCAAAACAATCACTAATACATAACATTTTCAGATTACTGTTAACAGCATATACGCATTCAATAAATATAATTAATATGCTCATCTTCACAAGAAGAATATAATAGAGATACAAAACAGTAGCATTATATAATTCAGCAGAATAAAAAGAAAAGGCTTTCTCTCATTTAAATATAGTTTTTCATCAACAGAATGACGCGACAAATGTTTTCGTGCTGTTTTCATCACTGAAGAAAATAACAATGTTTTCCTTTCATTGTTAAAACGAATAAGTAGGTAGAATTCTCGAAGGATAAAAGCTCGTCAATTTTTATGTGATTACCGGATGGGCTAGTAGTGAGAATAAACTGAGTACACAATACAATAGAGATGAAACTAATATCTGCAGCTATCAGGTATCCGGATTATCCAGGACCTGGTGGATTTTGAAAATTACTAAATATTCAAATTCGTGAAATTTCATTGTTTAAATCACTTAATGAATACAATTGTTTAGAAATCATAAAACTTGTGGGTATCAGAGGGCCCTTAATCAAACGTCATTTTCGTCATGACATCTTGTCATTTGATTCGTTGTAATATTACGGTGCGTAGGATCTAAACAAGGAAATTATTATTTCGATCAACTCAAAAGCTCCAAGTAAGCGCTGACACATCGAACATCGAAGTTTTTCACCAACCACGAGATTTTTCGAACGCCAAAATGAGTCTAGGAGTGTTTAGCTTATCACTTCCATTGAGGGGGATAATTAACATTGTATTAATGTTAATAAATGAGATGTGATTTGTAATTAATAGGTATTGTAATTATACGCTATTTAATAAAATTACAAACATCTCAGTGTAATTATGCCGGCGTACCATTGTATCCATTTAAAAATGTAAATGAGACTCGCTTACACCAATTCTAATATCTTCCTATTCAATATAATATAGTATGAGCCGAAATACAGGAATTAACTAAATAATTTATGCATAAAAAAATACAATGTATACATTGTATTTTCATCATCGTAATAACATAGGCACGACAGGAGTCTCTTAAATCACAGATAATGTACAAGAGAAACTGCATTCATAAATTATCTCAAGGAGGAAGTAGGCGAAATCCTTAAAACGATTAATTATGTAACCAGGTGCAGGAAAAGATGCCCCGCTTAAGTATTCAATTTCAATGACAATATTCAAAATATTACATAAACTAGACTCCAAAAGTGAACTAGAGTAGATAACCGGCGTACAAGATTTGAAAGAATATTACTCAAAAAGTAATTTTATCATTACACAACTTTTTAGAATGTAACTGGCGAAATTTATTTCAATATCAAAAAAATAAATTCCATATTAAACAAGAAACTGTAGTATATATTAAAATACAGTTCATTCGAAAATTCCTATTATAGACAATATAGCGCGACTTCATTTAATTAGCACACTCCAATGATTAAGAGAAAAAATATTAGCAATTAAAATTCAAAAAAGAAATAAAATACATAAACACGTACCTAACACTATTAATAGTTACTGTTGGGAAGTTACATAACACGAGTTTTATCCCTATATGACAGAAATCAGCTGAATGAGATACGTGACTAACTATTCAAATAAAATATACTCCTTGAATTGGTAGCACGTCTTGGCGAAAGATAATCCGCCAGCTGTTAGTAGGAACAGGCAACTTTTTGAGATGCACTCCTAATATAATGTAATACATTTACGATATTATTTGCATCGGGAGATATACTATTACGTCATAAAGTTCTGAATCTTGGTTACTTCGTTTAAGTTTATTATACGTTTATTTATGGAGTCATGGATTTAAATGTCAGAGAAATGACAAAGACTTTAGGAGTCCTACCATTCCCCGGGGCTACGTCACAGATACAACTCGGATAAAACTTACACGTATAGTTGTTTCCGTAACGATCAAACTTTTGAAAATAACAAACGCTTAAATAAAAAACAAGAACTTTTTTGAACGTTATAAATCAAGTGTACTGATGTGGATAAGACAATGTAGGTCACGCACAAAACATACGTGAGTCTGTAAAGATAGGAGAATTTCGTACTCAAAGCTTTCTTTATCCGAATATATGAAAAACGTTTCTCATAACATGTAATACGGGTATGTTATTTTACATTTCACTAATTTTGATAAATATAATATCGTACACATTATTACATTTGTACAATTTTAATTTTCAACATACAGTATACGGTTAATTAAGAATATGGTAGAAGAAAGCCGAAAATTTTTAATATGTGTTCTATATACTAATATCATAAAAAGGAAAGATTTGATTGTTTGTTTGTTTGCAACGAATATGCTCCGAAACTACTGGACTTATTTTAAAAATTCTTTCATCTACGGGAAGCTACATCATATGCGGTGAACATCGGCTATATTTTATCCCGAAAAACAGTAAATAAAGGGATGAAAATGGAAATTAAACTATTACCATAGTAACCATTGTGTACCATTCAATTTGTCATTGTAATTATATAAAAAAAAAACAGTTCCCTAGGGACCACGCGGGCTAAGTCTCTGACAGAAAGCTACTCTTAAATAAGTTTAATTGCCAAAGAAATCTTCATTTTAAAAACAATAATTAACATGGTCTTAGATGAATGTGGTATTAGATATGTCTCAAATACTTACCCATAATATAACTAACGCCTCCGAGACGCGTCAAGTGTTAAGAGGGGAGGTTATTAAGATACTTGGCTGGATGAATTTCGGTTAATTAAGTCAGTATACTGTTGAAATTACTGCGGTCTTGTCTGCATATAAATTCAATTCAGCGAGATTATACCTGGGGTTAGGGTGTAATAGTTACATAAACAATGGTCGAATGCTGGCTCAGAGACTATTATAAGGCGACACATTAATTCAGAAGGTGGAACAATTGCGGCAGGCAGCTTCGTTAGACCGCCAGCGACACGTGTAATAAGATAAAGTAACACCCGCCGCCCCGTGCCCTGCTGGAACAAAGGTCTTCCGACATCGACGCCGCAAACAATACCTACAACATGTTGGCCTTACTGTCCGCCTATTTACAACCACTCCCCTTTACGCCCTACGTAAGTTAGATAATATTAAACAAATAACAATACAAAACCTCTTCTATAACATAAATACTTACCATAGCGACAAGCCTGTAAAAGACATTTGTGTCCATTTTTAACTGTTAATGAGAAAATAATGACATAATAAGTAATTTTGTAGTGAAATATCAATGAAGCATATTTTTAATATTACTTCAGAGTATTGGGTAACTTGCATTAAATAAATGCCATTTGATAGGAAATGAGAAAATGCCCTGAATGTGGCTCGTTATCAAAGAGTCAAAAGAAACGAATTTTAGAATTGTTTGTAAAGAAACACATAAAAGATAAAAATAATTAATGGTATAGAGTTTTAAATCGATCAATACATTCCAAAATTTTATATATCTTATTTTGAAAATTCCGAAATCCGATTGAATAGTGGTTGGATATTCAGTATTAGCTGGACAGTAATATGACCATCGCATAGTCCAAATACCGGATAATGGCCTGATATCCGTTTCATATTCTTAAAATCGTCAGAATTCTAATTCATTTGCGAGGTGTAGAATATATATTTCTTCCGCCCCTCTCAGCTCCGATTGATCTGCTGCTGTCTCACTAGGATGAAAATTAGCCTTTCGTTATGTTACTGAAAATTTACTGAAGGTGATGAAAATTGGTGCCTATCTTTATAAACAAAACTTCTATCTGCATCTCCCTTTTATTATTTATTTATTTTTATAACAAAAATAACCACTTATAGTTTGAGTTTTTAGGCAGGTTATTAGAATATTTGTTTTTATTATTCAGGAATATATGTATTACTTCTTGCGCGTACACCGACCGATTGGAGCTGCATATTACATTTCAACGTGGAATTTATATGTTAATTTCGTCTGATTGCATAACGACCGTTTGGTTTAATTAGTGCTACAATTCACACTCTCTGTTACCGACACAAAGGGTTCGAGCCTTTGAACAATACTTGTGTTCTGTTATATTAAACGTATTATACTTTTCATTTTTGATTGATTTTGACTTATATTAATATTATTCATTATATTATTAACAATATCCAATTTGGAAAAAGTTACAGCTTTTAACCAAACTACTAAATAACATTTAAAACTACTTAAAAAATCCACTATGACCCTTGTACTCTGAGATAGAATGAGATCTCAGAACACCAGGCACAAAATGATATTTTAAACATTTTCTATTGACATATTAAATAACAATCAACTGAATTTTTAATTAACAAATATGGTGATCTACATATTTCACTTCAAATAACAAAATGAAATTAACCCTTAAATAAAAACTCCATTTCAAATTACAATACAAAATAAACCTGACTTACTATCTACCCAAAAATAAATTTGTGATCGATCGCATGTCGCTGTTTACGATTTTATTTAAAAACAATTTTATAAAGTTCATTAAGATGTGTTACAATTACTTAATTAAAATAATACTGTGCTTTTCTCATTTCCGAAGTATTTTTTTTTTATTAACACACTATTCCGCTTAACAAAATTGAAGTAATCTTACCGTTCACGATGACTTTACATTTTATGATCCACCATTATTATTCATATCTGAAACAAAACATGATACTACATTAATTTAACAGTTCGTTGGCGCAATATCCAACGCGTTCGGTGTGTAATTCGCAGATGGAGCAACTTTCACTACAACAACTGTTGACAGGATGGGTGACCAAAAATGTCTTTAACTTGAGTTCCCACGTGCTTCGGAAAGCACAGAAGGATTATGTAGTTATTGTACATAACATTGTAAGTGGTAGTAATGAAAATAATACTATAACTTTAATAAAAAAATATACATATTTATGTCCTAGTATTATTAAAGTTTCCATTTCTATTCAACTTTTCTAGTTTTATACCGGTTCTATATTACACTCATAAAATAAGACATAATTTTAAATATAAGTATGATAGGACCGTGTAAAAGGTAAACGATCAGAAACATATAAAAAAGGGTATAAAGCATATGTGGAAATAAATAATAAAAAAGTTTAGCAAAAATAATATACTCATATCCATACTCGATAGACGATATTAGCGACTGCAAACCGCGGGAGGCAAATACATATAACGCTCCCGACTTATCTCGAGGGTGGGTAATGGGGGCCGCTACTATATCGAGCCTATCTTTCCACTAATGGCCTACATGTGAAAGGTGAATAGCTCCATCCCGATGCGGAACGAGTAAGCCACTTGCAGAGAAGGATGGATGATGCCTTATTTCGTTATCTGTGCTTTATAACCATTGTATGAAGATGTTGATATATAACTACAAGCCATGTACTTTACAACGGAAAAGATAGGATAAGCGGTAAGCGAGTTATTTTGTTTCGATTGATGCGAAGACTAGAGAGCAACTTGCACTCATATTTATAATCGAGAGGAGTAATTACATGAGAAAGTGTCATAACTTAAGTAAATATTATTGACAAATATACAAGAATAAATGAAACAACTTTCAAGGGTCCGAAAAGTCAATAACTAAATACAAACGTGATGAAACGGTTTAAAAGTTGTTTCATTTATGGATAATGATAAGAAATCAATAAATATACAAGAAATTGAATGAATTTATTCAGAACCCTTAAAAGTTAGAATACTATTATGATTAGCTATTGACAGTTGTTATCTACTTCATTTAAGTTCTAGTATGTTGGTTGACAAAATTTCATGTAAAAACTTTTCGTAAGACATTTTCTCGAATAAATACTTCTCTCGAGAGAGTGTACAGAATTGGTGGTGAGGCCCATTTTATAAAAGATATTTGACCAATGTTCATGTTTCCGTTATAATAAAGAACAGGAAAACTTCTATATAAATCTACTGAAAAGTTCTAATGTAAATCCTTTAAGTATCCATGTTAGCCCGATTGCAATGTTTACACTGAAATAGGACTCGAACTCATGATCTAACAAAATCATATCATACCATGATCTAATAAAAAGGACTGATGAATTTTTTAAGAATTTGTTCCTTTTTTCGCTACTGGTGAGCGTATTTTCACGATTTTACATTTGGTGCTGTGAACAATGCCTATATTTTCTCGAACAAAGGTACAAATAAATAACAAAAAATATCACTTAAACCTTTTCTATTACGGCAATTAGAAACACGAAGGTACCACAATCACAGACCCACTTGAATCCAGTCATCCCATGACGAATTCGTGAAACATTTTGCCAACACTTAAATATACCCGCTTGAATCCAGTACACATCCCATGACGAATTCGTGAAACATTTTGCCAACACTTAAATATCAATTTCTCAAGTTCGGTTCTCTTATTATCGCACTCTCGCCCTGTTTCTCGAGTCTATCGAGTTAGTTTTGCTACGTGTGCAGAACATAGAAATTGCAACGCCCTAAAACCGGCGCCAGTGTATAACATGGACACGGTGGAGGTCGATATGTAATTGAACCACTATTCAAGTGAAAAATACTTACTATAAACACAAACTACAAATGAGTTAAAGAACAGGCTTCTGCTACATGCTGATGGGTTTTGGCATGTAAATTCTAGTGAATTTTTGTTCGAAAATAAAATAGGTCTATTTGCAGCAGCTTTTCTGAGAAAACGTAAAAGAAACTTGAATGTGTATCGCGGGAGAAAAGAATAAATTTGTTTATTTTACGTAATATATTGTCACAAGGCATATAAATAATAGTAAGTTTGTATTGTGAGTTATATACATATGCGTCTCAAAACCTCAAAATGATACAATGCTTACCTATCTAATGGTTTAAATATAAAATAACTTACGAATAGTGTATAGAAATACATAATATGACTTTTCGTACAGCGCACAATAAAGATCATGATTATATCGGTATAGTGGGTAATATAATTATTAATTTACAATGAAATAATAAAATTATTTGAGAAAATCCAAAAACGCGTTCGATGAAAAAATCATAAGCAAAAAAAAAATAAAAGAAGAAGAGATCCACATCAAAAGATAAAATCTATAATAGATGGTCACGTGTGTCGCAACAACTACTAAGAAGGTTGGAGCTGACCAGAGTTAGTTATTTTTCAGGTAAATTCGCGTCAGTGCATCTGAAGACGCGTCGCTTCTCATACGTCGGTGGCGGAACGTCAGAATTGACAAATACGTGATAGGGGCTTCAACTTTGGCTTTGCATACTCGACGGAAAATCCTAACTTATTCTAAAAAGATATTAACGCATACTAAGCAAATATTAACGTATATTGAGAGAGCGAGACGCTCGACGGATGTCTCATGAGATTTGCGCCGACCTGTCTTAAAAATTAGCTATAAAAATACATAGATTTGTAGGTAACGGTATTTGTTTGTATCGGTATCTAGGAAATGTTTTCGTTGTCGAATCTTGTTCAGTATTTGCGGCATATATAGTAAACATACGAGCTATGATTGAACAAAGCAAAAAAAAAAAACTATAGTCATCATCAATTAGATGTTACAACAGCGGCGTCTGTACGTCGGGCGTGTCCATTACGATGAAACATGTTGGTCTAATTAATGGACGCAGTCTATTATTGTGCGGAAACCACGTGTCCAGTATACGTGTCGTGCATTCAGATCCCGTGAGCGCCAAAGCCCGCTATAGATTACGAGGAATAACACATAATTCCAACTGAATATTAATGTGTCTACCAGTTCGGGTGATAGTTCCATATTAAAGATTGTGTTTTCAATGATTCAATTTAATATGAACGAGGTTTTAAAATTTAATCAAATTTGCATTCACAATGCTACACTGATAAATATGTTTAATGTCGTTCATAAACTATATATTAAATATTTTAGTCCCACTTCGGGAAGGGTTGCCAGATGGGGAGACTAAAATATTTGTGAAAAATAATATAACATTAAAACACCTGATAAAATAATCTATTATACCTTGCTATATTATATATATATATATTGTATTTGGAATTCAATTTTACAGAATATAAAAATTTTTGTCGGGAGAAATTTGTTTTTAGTATTCTAGACATCATACAAAATGTCTGGATAATCCAGACGAATTCCGAGCATCTGGCAAACCTTACCTCGGGGTACCTGGGGCTAGTGGATTTTTAAGCATTTTTAATTAAAAATATTAAAAGAGGTTTTTGACAACTGTATGTACTTGATATTTCATTACCTTTGGTATTTTTTGATAGATACAACGCAAGATATTCTGTATGATTAAAAACATATGTAACACAATCCTTTAGGATAGGAGATATTATATCTTCATAGTCATATTATAGGTGATATTATATCCGCACGGTCTATACGTGTCTTTCGCTTTCTTGACATTCATAACGCTTTTTATACAGGACTAGCGAATTTTCTCGGGTAAATTGTAGTCTACACCACCCGAATATGTTGCAACTTTCTGAAGGTGAAATATTTTTTAAAATCGGTGCAGTAGTTTTATTCAACGCAAACAAAGAAATAAAATTTTCCTCTTTATAATTTTAGTATAGTTATGTTATATATAACTAACGATAATACGTTATGTATTTAATCATGTAACTTGCATTTTTAAAAAAAGATAGTAAAACGACTAATTGAAATCAGGAAAACCTCAGAATTACAAGACAGTGTTTAAAAACTAACAGTAAAAAGCTTTAATATTTTAAAAAACTTATTAGATGAGAATCTATATCTAATAAGATTATTAAATGTAATCAAAATGAATAACAGAATCTGATTGATTATATTTGTCATAATCAGCTCATGTTTGCGTACAATGAAAGGAAAAAAATCTCCTAAAGCAAGAAGAAAATTTCAAATGATTGTATACAGCAGGTGCACAGTTTAAAACAATATTTTACGTAATTGGCTTCTAATATCTATTACAATTTAACACTAAAAAGCATTACTCTGTTCTCTAATGCAAACGAGAAACGTTTAAATTAAGAAAGATATTCGAAATAAGTTCCATTTCAGAAGAGAAAATAATAATTGTAAGGAAAAAGGGTGATATGTTTGAATAGTAAAAGATAAAGAAGAAAAACTACTTCAATAATATAACCGAACAATCATCTTACCACTAACCCAACGGGAATGAATCATCCGCTTGACCGGACGTCTGATTGAGGGTGACAGGTAATAGCCATCAATGATAAATCCTCAGAGGCCAGAGATTTATAATTGTAGGAACATAGCACATTATATTTATGTATTCAGAAATTTATAATACACGCGTAAAAACAAAAATGAATCTCTACTGTTTTTAGTTATTACAATATCCTAATAAGGTTACTAGGTACTAATGATACCATTAAGATTGAGTAATTATATTTAACTGGAATTATAAAAGTTAAGTATCGTGGATGTCGCCGTATTTATGTACTGTCCTACTAGCTTAAGGGGGGTAACAGCCAGCACCTGGGGCCAAGCGGGCCTAATGGCCTGTCACGGGTCCATCCGCGCGGTGATTGATTGGAGCGGTGACATCGCACACATCGCCTACAGACCCGTCGATAACGCCTAATCCATCAGACATTACATTTTAACATGTGTCTGTTTTGTGCGAAACGGTTGTGGGAGTTTCATAGGGACGAGCTAAAAACG